TCAAAGTCCAGAGCCTTCCACACAGCATGGCCCAGCAGGTCTCCCACCTTCCTCTTCTTTGTGATGACAACCAGGTACGTGCCTTCCAGAAACAGGAGAAAGCAGAGCAGAAATGCTCTGGATTATCCAGCTTCCACTATTTCACAGTGAAATAATGTATCTCCATACTGTGTGCATGCTGCACTTACCTGCCACTAAGCGTATAGTTCCCATCAGTCCACATATTGGCCTGGTCTCAGCTGATGCAGGGACATCCTGTCTCACTGAGGGCGACGGGGACACAACAACGGTTTTTATGGACACGGGAAATATCTGTGACATCATCGAAACTGGGATTATAACTAAGGAGGGCATCGTTTCATGATCTGCTCTCCAGACTTACTGAAGCCCAACAGAGAAAGAAATTAACTGAAGATCAGAGAAAATCTTGGCACTCCCACAATTTCAGCCCACGCCAAGAAATAAACAACAAAACAATAACAAATAAGAAGGAAAACACCCTCAAACGTGTTTAACACTTAGCCACACATTGTCTTCAGCTATGTGGTCACAGTTGCTCCTTTAACTCTCGGACCTCACAGAAATATGCGCTATGATAAATATAAATATAATATAATAATATAAATATGCGCTTCTTTTGTGGTGGAGGAACACCAAAGGAATTACGGAGCTTCTTTGACGTCTTTAAGAGTTCTGAACAAATATCTTATGGATGCAGACGCTCGTTCCAACTTCTTATCTGGTGCGCGTCTTTTATTTTGACAGCGAATGCGCATCACTTATGTGCAGCCCATTTATACAAGCGCTTTAACTATAGGTAAGTGCTTTAAATCAAACATTCACACTCTGACTGATGGATCAGAGAGAAACTTGGGGTTACTGTCGTGCTCAAGGATGTTTAGCATGCAGACGGGAAATCTAAATCACTATCTGCCAAATCAACTAAATCAGGGGTCTCGAACTCCAGGCCTCGAGTGCCGGTGTCCTGCAGGTTTTAGATGTGTCCTTGATCCATCACAACTGATTTAAATGGCTAAATGACCTCCTCGACATGTCCTGAAGTTCTCCAGAGTCCTGCTAATGAACTCATCATGTGATTCAGGTGTGTTGACCCAGGGTGAGATCTAAAACCTGCAGGACACCGGCCCTCGAGGCCTGGAGTTCGAGACCCCTGAACTAAATTTAATGGGAGATGTTTTTGTTTCGTTTTTTATAAGATCTAGAAAACATTTCCTATTTTAATGTTCACACAAAATACAATTTAGCTAGATATATTGAAATGTTACTTAAAGTGTCTTTCTTGTTGTATTTTTATATTTCTGTTGTACAGCACTTTGGTCGGCCATGTGTTTAACAAATTGCGACCGTGGATCAGGGGGTTGGGAAGCGTATCTGTAACCGGAAGGTCGCTGGTTC